CAATAATGTCATGAGCTCTTTATGTAATCATTGAGAAAGTATTACTACCTGCATCTATAACTCGTGATGTGGTAGGTAATTACTGCATTCTCAACACAGAGCGAGATGATTAGTCTTAGTGAACCGAATTAGGATGAAGACAGAGAGAGAGAGAGAGAAGGACGTTATATAGAAAAGAGCATTAAAATTAATAAATGCGCATTTGATTGATTTCTTCATTTCACATTACTCCACACTAGACCCATAAACAGAAAAAAAGTAATTTTAAATTCAATCGATTTTAAGTTTAAGATCTTGCAATGCGTAAAAGTGTTTTCATTTTGAATAAAGTGAGTGTTTCATCATTTGTTTATTATTATTATTATTAGGTAATAGTTAAGAACTATAAAAATTATCGCAACCAAAATTATAGTTATTTAATTGTAACAACGCTTAATGAGGTTTGTACTCGTATTTGCACTTGTATAGTGAAACATATTCAAAAAATACACATAATATGTTTACACAAGTTTTAAGAATGATTTAGAAGGCGCGCATTCCGGGGCATCTCTTTTCATCGTCACTCGTTATGCGAGTCATTTTTCTTACAATTCATTTTGCTCGTTAAGCGAGGTTCTACTGTATTTGATAGACGCGCGCAGTCCCGAATTTTAAATCTTCGCAGATAAGACTTTTTTTAACTTTCTAAACGTGATGCACGCGATTCGGATGAATTGCGGAATGCCACGAAAAGATGATGATGTGGTGTGATGTAATTTTTGTGGAAGCTGTTGTCTTTAGGTGTCGTTTGCACGATAGTTGGGTGTTATATTATCAATGAGAGGCGCGTCGTTTACAAAGTAGTAGTGTTGGGTGGTAAATGGTGATGGTAATGGTGGACAAGAAAAAATAGCGAAGCCGCCGAAATTGTATCGCATTTACCGATGATCGTTCGTTTGGGAACGAGCAGTTAGAACAAATTAAACAAAAACAAAGAAGTTTTCTAACTATTCGAATAGTAGCAAACTTTTAACCACCTCAACCAGATTCCTGCGGACAGTTTGGGATTTAATTTTAGTGCACTTTGGGCCGTTTCCATAGAGACCATTATTAGCCAGAAACTAAAATTTTATCCTTTCATCTAAATAATGTGAAAATCAAGTTATTTCACATCATTTTTAGTGCATTAAATCAATAAATTTTTAAACTTAATATTAATTATTTATATAAAATTTCGCTTGAAAATCTGAAGTGAAAATGAAAAAAAAACGACATTTTTCATTTTATTTTACTGCATTTTCATAAATCTTTTCTTTAACTAATTTCTTATAACATTTCCACAGAAAACTCTTCTTAAATTTGATATTTTATCATGTTAATAGAATATTAAGAAATATTCAGGAAATAATGTAATTTTTGCTAAATTTTTAGACTTTTACTAATGTTAAACATGCAAAACTAACTTAGATTTAAACGGATGTAATCATAATCATACAGAATATTCATAAAAAATTGTTTCTTGTAACAATCTTTAACTATACAAAAAAAGAATGTAAGTGATTTATAATCTTGAACTTTTGTTCTTGAATTAAATGAATATTTTGTAAAAAACAAAATTGTTTTTCTTACGATTATTTTGAATATTAACAAATTTTACTGTTAATCCAATTTAACACGTTAAGGACGGCGCTTTTCGGGTTGTCTGCCCCAGAAAATTTTTCGTGGACGCCTATGGACTGAGTGAAAAGTCAAATATCTTACGTCAATTTTAAACGTTTAAATTTTTCTTATACATTTTTTAATGATATTGAAGCAATTTATAACAATTGTGGGAAAATATTGAAATTTTCATTAAATTCTATACTTGCTAGGAAAAAGTACTATAGGTTTTATAATAAGCAATAATAATAATTGATTATTGCAATTTCTATTCAAGTCGAATATATCATCATGTGCATATTCAAGCTCTAAGCTTGTATTGTATTTGAATAAATTAGCAATGTTTTATATATCTGCTTATGATAATCATATTGTATTTTTAATGCCGTTGGTAATGGTGAAAAAGTCCGATTTAAATCATTTGTATTTTTAATGCGTTGCGTTCGATTACTTAGGAGCTGAGAAGCGGCAAGTAGCATTGAATGAAAATTTCAAATATGTTTCGCAAGTTAATTTGAAAGTATGCCTAAATTATGTCACAATATCACGTATTGTTCTAAATTGCTTCAAGAATTATTAAAATATGTATAAGAAATGTATTGGCGTTTGAAGTTTGTAATTGACTTAAGATATTTGAGGTTATACTCAGTCAAAATCAGTGGCGTACATAGCAACAAAACTATTATTTATAATTAATGACCCACCGGTGGGTCATGCCGTCGTCAATGTGTTAATATGCAAAAAAAAAATCGTAAAAATCAATTTCAATTAATTATACATCAAACATGTAAATTAGTCACACAATGTTCGCTTTAAAACACTTTAAACAAGAAAATAGTTTTCAAATAACTCTACTTTGCCCAAAGTAATTGTTTTAGAGAAATTACGATGTTGCAACTTCTTAAAAGCAAGAGGAAAGTTTTTTTTCTTTTAGTTCAAATTTTTTTTCTCCATATTTGTTCGTCGTTCAGTTGCGAATTGATGTTAAATCCATGCATCCGTCAGTTCAGTTTGCGAGAACTATGTTCTAATTAGATTTAGGAAGGAAGGCATTAGCAAAAGAAAAGAAGAAATAAAGGACAAGAAGAAAAAATGGAACGATGAAAAAAGGTTGCAATTTTGTTCTAATTTATAAAATTAATTTATTAGAATGACTGAAGATAGATTGGATTTTGATACATTTTTCGGTATAAAAACTTTTTAGATTTATATTCAATAAATTTCAAGGTATATACATTGTTTTTATATTTGGATTTTTAATGTAGATACTTGTCTACCTTATGGTTCATGAGTTTCGTACTTAGTGAATCCGGCCCTGGTTTCTATAACTCGTAACGTGGAAGGTAATTTCTGCATTCCCAACACAAAGTGAGATAATTATTCTTGGTGAACCCAATTAGTACAAAGAGACCCAATTAGTACTACCACCATGATCAGAAAAAAAAAATAAATTGAATCAATTTTAAGTTTAAGTTATTTCAATTCGTGAATGTGTTTTCATTTTTAATCAAGTGTGAGTTTCATCATTTTTTGTTTGTTTGTAAATTATTAACTGTAATTAATAATTATCATAATATTTCGATAAATCATCAAGCTTAATTATATAATTTTATTTACATATGACATGAAAATAACACAATTATTTTATATTAAAGTTAAAAACTTGCAATTTGCACTTAATAGTAGTAATAAAAATATTACTTTGTAATTAAATAATTTAGTGTTTCCGTAAATAACTATTATTTTTTAATATTGGAATTTTTTGTCAAACGTGGCCGCTTGGTAGGTTTTCTCAGTATGGGGCAAGCCTTATTCTTTTTTCGTTCTTTCTTTAAAACAGCGGTATTCAAACTTTTTGTTACAACGCCTCATGTAACAAAGGCATCTTGATTCAATTTTTTTCAATACTATATCATACTTTCAATTTTTCTTCATTGAAATGTGAAAACTGCTTTTTTTTTTCAAGCGAATTACAGCCAAATCCATGAAAAGACAGTAATTTATGAATACTTGATACATACAGCTTTCATATGCATCTTCGGAATCGAAAACCCGGATTTCGAATTACATTAATTTCCTTTAAAAAAACGTTTTCGAGAACTAATTTTTCATTTACAACCAAATGGATGAAACCACAGTATGGACCAATGTATAGACAATCGCTACATTTCCAAACATCTAGCTTTCATATGCATCCATTCAATCTATTAAAAATGAATGAAAACTGTAGAAACTTAAAATTTCAATTGAAATATTCCATATTTGAAAGTATTATAGTTTTCATTGATGTTTTCTTCAAAAATGAAATGCGTTGTTAGTAAAATAATTTCCGTGTTATTATTTTTTGTTGGACACCCATCCAATTATCATCTATTGCTTAACTTTCTTAAATAATCATAAATCATAGTTGTTTGAGTAGCGAACTTTCTCCAAGTTATGAGTAAATCAAACTGAGGAGATGTGCCGAATTTTCAATCTGGAACGTTTCTGTCGATTTAATGTGTCGGTTATGTTAGGTGATAATTAACTTATGGGATTCGTCGGTGAACAAAAGAGAATTTCCTTCTTGGCGGAAAAGTACAGACGAAATCGTTTCCACATGTTTATCACGATCATAAACGCAGCTAAAAGCACGGCAAACAATGAAAAATTTGCTTTCTAAGTGCCGAAAATGTCGCGAAAACTTCTCTTATTCCCAAATCGCAATGTTCACAAACGTTTTATTATACAGTGGAATCTCGCTTAACGAGGTTTGTACTCGTATTTGCACTTGTATAGTGAAACATATTCAAAAATACACATAATATGTGTACACAAGTTTTATGAATGATTTAGAAGGCGCGCATTCCAGGACTTCTCTTTTCATCGCCACTCGTTATGCGAGTCATTTTTCTTACAATTCATTTTGCTCGTTAAGCGAGATTCTACTGTATTTGATAGACGTGCGCAGTCCCGAATTTGAAATCTCCGCAGATCAGACTTTTTTTTAACTTTCTAAACGCGATGCACGTACTAAAGTTGTTTTTTTTTTCTTATATTTCGTTTGATTCGGATGAATTGCGGAATGCTACGAAAAGATGATGATGTGGTGTGATGTAATTTTTGTGGAAGCTGTTGTCTTTCGGTGTCGTTTGCACGATAGTTGGGTGTTATATTATCAATGAAAGAAACGTGTTTGTCATGCGCGTCGTTTTCAAAGTAGTAGTGTTGGTTGGTAAATGGTGATGGTAATGGTGGACAAGAAAAAATAGCGAAGCCGCCGAAATTGTATCGCATTTACCGATGTTCGTTCATTTGGGAACGAGCAGATAGAACAAATTAAACAAAAACAAAGAAGTTTTCTAACTATTCAAATAGTAGCAAACTTTTCTCCACCTCAACCATATTCCTGCAGACAGTTTGGGATTTAACTTTAGTGCACTTTGGGCCGTTACCATAGAGACCATTATTAGCCAGAAACTAAAATCGGTGAGTTTTTAACGCTTTTTATCCTTTCATCTAAATAATGTGAAAATCAAGTTATTTCACATCCTTTTTACTGCATTAAATCAATAAATTTTTAAACTTAATATCAATTATTTATATAAAACTTTAATCAATAATTTCGCTTGAAAATCTGAAGTTGAAAATGAAAAAAAAACTACATTTTTCATTTTATTTTACTGCATTTTCATAAATTTAAATTTAACTAATTTCTTATAACATTTCAACAAAAAACTCTTCTTAAATTTGATATTTTATCATGTTAATAGAATATTAAGAAATATTCAGGAAATAATGTAATTTTTGCTAAATTTTTAGACTTTTAATAATGTTAAACATGCAAAACTAACTTAGATTTAAACGGATGTAATCCGTAAATAAATAATGTATACATTATTTATAAATCACTTATTATAATCTTGAACTTTTGTTCATGAATTAAATGAATATTTTGTAAAAAAAAATTGTTTTTCTTAAGATTATTTTGAATATTAACAAATTTTAATGTTCATACGTTTCTACTACAATTTCATTGATAAAAAAAACTAATGAGTATACAATTTAATATGCAAAAAAAAAAATCGTGATACTCAATTTCAATTAATTATACATTAAACATGTAAATTAGTCACACAGTGTTCGCTTTAAAACACTTTAAACAAGAAAATAGTTTTCAAATAACTCTACTTTGCCCAAAGTAATTGTTTTAGAGAAATTACGATGTTGCAACTTCTTAAAAGCAAGAGGAAAGTTTTTTTTCTTTTAATTCAATTTTTTTTCTCTATATTTGTTCGTCGTTCAGATGCGAATTGATGTTAAATCCATGCATCCGTCAGTAGTTTGCGAGAACTATGTTCTAATTAGATTTAGGAAGGAAGGCATTAGCGAAAGAAAAGAAGAAATAAAGAACAAGAAGAAAAAATGGAACGATGAAAAAAGCTTGCAATTTTGTTCTAATTTTTCCAATTTTTTTTTAATAGCCTCGTGAAAGTGCACAAAGAATTATGCAATGTTATAAAAAAATTGGCGAAAGTTGTAGAAGGAATGAATGTCAAAATTGAATAGTGGAAATAGTACAGTAAAACCTCGCATAGTACTGGTTATTGGTTCCGTCGGACTGTTTGAAACCGGATTAATCGAAGACTACAATTGGATTTTTTTTTAAATTTCAAACCGCACTATGCGAGGTATTGCTGTGATATTATTTAATAGATTTTTTGCAATTTAGAATTTGCTGTCTTGAATTTCATGTGAAAGAAATATTCAAAATTTACACAAAATACACTTCATATTCCATTGCCAATTTATTAATGAACTTATAGAAATGTTAATGGAATTGTTCAATGATTTGCAATTCATTCAAACTGTAAATAGAGTTTTTAATAAATTTAGTATAGAAAATAAATGTTAGCTAAAATACATCTAAAATTAATTTATTTACATTTTAAGAAACAGGCCAAAGTCCATATGCTATTTGTTGTTTATACCAACAAATGAGTCACGTAATTACGTAAATAGTTGACTTTTTTGTTCCCAAACTAATTCTAATTCCGAGAAGACAACAAAAACTGCAACAGCCCGAGGGTTTTGACTAACTAATTTGCTCAAATTCACATAGCAAAAAAAGTGGGATAAATTTGAAACAAGGAAGTTTGAAAATACCTCGCACAGTGTGATAGTAATCGATTCCACACTAATAGAAACCGGACTAATCGAGGTTTTAAAAAAATTTCATTCGAGCGTGTTGAACTTTATAGTTACTATGGAAACTTTTAAACTAAATGCATAAACTAAAAACTGGAAATCCCAAGAAGACAATTGCTGAATTGCTGCTTGATTAAAGTGTCGAATTTATTGCGTAAAAAAAATCAAGTGTGTCCAATTTGAAATCATTAGACTTAGAAAAACATCTTCAAATGTTTTTCATTGTTATTTGCTATATAGAATACGTTTGGTATTGCGTAATAAAATCAAGTGATTCAAAATTTAAATCATTAGACTTGTTTTCGCTGTGTAGAATACGTTTTCGCATTTAAATTACGGCAATTATTGAACAAAAATAATCTTCACTTGAAATTATAGAGTGAAATCGTTTCAATTTTAATTGACTTTTTTGTCTTTTTAATGAACACAAATAAACAAGCATTATTGAAATACGAACATTTATTGCGTTTACCTTCAAATTGTTTATTTACGCAATAAACAAACTCATATATTTGTGTAATAATCAAGATTGTAAAATTAATTGCTGAAAACTTTACGAAAACAAATAATTTCTATAACATTAACAAAAAAAAAATAATCAAATTGCAGAAAACTTTATTTTCTTACGAAACAATCGAAACAAATAAACAATTGAATCTTCAAACAAATAAACAATAAATGTTATTAAAATAAACATAACCATGGTAACGTGTCGTAAAAGCAATTAAAAACGTAATTAATATGAACAATCGCAGCACGTAATTCGGTTCGTTTAAATTTAATAACTTTTCGTGCGATTACGCAATTTGCAACGAATGGCATTTCGTTTTTTTGCATTTTTTTTTTCAGTTCTTTGCGAAGTACCTCCCACGTTCAATTTTCTATGTCAAGGCGTTAAACAAATTGAAAATAAATATATAAATTTTAATTCAAATATTTTTGAGAAAATAAGAGAAATTGAATAAATTTCATTTCCAAAACGTGTCTGAAACGAATTAAACTATTAAACTGAAAACACATATTGTTAATAATAATCGTTATGCACTCACACGCTTCGTTTATTTAAAAAAAATGTTATGCTGTTTTATCTTATGAGAAACGATTTGGCCTGATTTGCAGTTGGACACAGTTGTGGTGAAGCAAGATTTTTTTTTTGGAGAGATTTTTGGGCACCTTTCTAAAATTACTAATAAGCATCTATGCGTAGTAAAGGAACAATATTACGTAACGATTCTTCATGAGAGAGTGGAGAAAAAAATAATATAAGAAGTATCGTTAACACAGCTAGTGCAAACTGTTCGTAAATCATCATAAGCTTTTACATCAATTGTTGCCTTGAAGACTCATTTGATGCATTGTAATTATTCACGTACAATATTTATTTAATTAGAAAAGAAAGCTAGGTAAACAAATGAAAATAGAGAATTAAAAACGCGCACCGGACAACAACGGTGAAAAGGAAACACGTATCTTGCAATCTTACATTTCGGGTGTTGCTTAGATTTGGTACGCATTTCCTTTTTGCTTTCTCCACTTCGACGTACCCATGTTTTCTAACGTGTTATCCAATTTATTTGTTCCATTTACACTCTTTAATATAATTCCACTTCATTCAATCAATGATTAACAATCAAATAATATCAACAAATGACGTTTTCTGTCAATTAACTGTCAACTGTCAATTTATGACAGGTTCGAATAATAAAGTTTGACAACATGCAGGAATACTATAAATAACGTAATTAATTTAGTAAATTTAACCAGTTGGAAATACCCGCCAAAATTGCAAAAAGTTGCATAATTCTATTGACCTCTATGCTATTGTCTAGAGTTAAATGTCAATGTTGTTTTTTTGCATTGTTTATAACGAATGTGACGTATTTCAGTGAAGTACAAAGCATAAATTCAACAAGAGTATGATTTTAAGTACTAATCACCTGCATGACCTTCAAACATACTTCAAATATTCAAATACATTGGCTCTCATATTTCAATCACCGTGTCCCAAAATGACGTTTTAAACGTCAATTCGATTTGACAATTTTGAACTTGTAAAATGTCAATTTAATTTGATAAGTATATATAAAATTAATTAAATAATTAAAATTAATGAAAATATTTCTTTAATTGCAATTCTAACAGGATGTACGTTTTTGTGTCTGAGGTTACGACATAGCTTGAGAATAATTTATTATGGATCCGTGCTCTCTTTAACATTTCGAGAGAGAGAATGAAACTGAAGTCTAAAAAAGGTGAAAGTCCGGCACTTAAAGCATCATGTAATAGTGATATAATCGATATATTTTTTTCGGTTGTTCTTAATCAGAATTTCATCTGATTCGAATGATTGGTTTCAATTCAGGCGACAGATGCAACGAAATTAAGATTACTGTCAATGTCAATGTCACCGGTTTTGATCAATTTGTTATGAGAATTTAAAGTTTTGTAATGACTTTTGTAGTGTTTGTCTTTGTATTATTGCACGATAATTATCAAACAAACGTTACATTATAACATATTTATTTTTGTTATCAGCGATTTACTTTCTCCTGTTGACATTAAGCGTTGCTTCATTCATCGTCACTTAACAATTGTATAATATTTATGATCGAAGCAAATCGTAGTTGTAGTAATGATGATAATTAAAAGTTTAGTGCGACGCCGTGAGAGTCACGTGCCCAGAAATCACTAGATTTAACAGAAAATAGTGAAATATTGCAATTTTGATTGTCAACGCGGCATTTTGTCGCGACCATTAAACAAATGAAGAGAACTTTCCACTAGGCGCGAAGAAATTCGCGTCGATAATTTTATTTTGGGAATTCTGATCTGATGAATTGGGTTAACAAGTTGCTTAAGAGATTTGTTGAGCAATATAGTCGAACACCCACAGATTTAACCGATTTTTTTTTATTATTAAGAATCTGAATAAATCAATTTTTTATTATGCATTATGTAAGTGTGTTCATTTAGTTTTTAAAGGTTGGAGACTGATTTTGTTTTTGTTTCTAAATTTGGGCGCGTTTCGCAATTTCGCATATTTATGTATTTTTTTTGTGCGTTTTAAAGGGAAATGGTAAAATCACGATTTTTGCTGTTACGCAATGGATTGTGAGCGAGTGTTTCTTGTAGTGACCTATTGGCATACAACCTTTATTGTAGTAATGATCCTGTTGATTGCAGGTTTCGTAGAGTGGAGAAGAGAAGAGAAGTGTAGAAGAGTCCGCTTTAGGCGAGCGCTCGTCGGAAAGAAAATAACAATTTCAGTCAAACTGTTTTATTTATATTTTCTGCAAGGTCTGCGAATTGTGTAAACCGAAAGACGCAATCGTCTTTTTGTTTTGCCTTTGCGCGCTTCACCATTTTCGTTTCATATGCCATCATACTTAAACGCGAATATTTTTCAGTCCGCGATGGCACCGTACGCTGGGGTTACCACGACCATCACGAGGATGGAGAACAGGAAGCACATCAAGGAGGACGTTCCCAAAGACGTGAAACTCGTGCCGAAAGGATACAAGGGTTTCTTCGGGGAATACGTGACCGATCTGATCTGGCTGCACATCATCTCCATCGGACTGTTCCACGTGATAGCCCTCTACTGTTTCATAACGTTCCCATTTCTGTCGTGCAATTACAAAACTTTGTTATGGGGTAAACAAAGATGAACTTCTTGCAGTTTGTGTATTATTATTATTTATCTTTATCTTTTTTTTTTGGACAAAAGGTGTTGTGATGGGTGGATTCTCCGGTTTCGGAGTCACCGCAGGAGCGCACAGATTGTGGTGTCACAGATCGTACAAAGCTAAACTTCCTCTGCAGATCATCCTTGCCATATGTTACTCAGCTGCAGGACAGGTAAAGATCAATACATATTTCAATATACATATAACTTCATTAATCCTGATAATATTATTGTAGAACACAATCTTCGACTGGGTTCGTGACCATCGCGTGCATCACAAGTATTCCGAAACGGATGCTGATCCTCACAACTCCAACCGCGGTTTCTTCTTCGCTCACATGGGATGGCTCTTCATGAGGAAGCATCCGGAAGTGATCAGGAGAGGCAATCAGATCGACATGAGCGACATCACCGACGATCCCCTTCTCAAATTGCACCACAAGTAAGTTTGTTTATTTTCACTCAAAATTTCAAATTAACGTATATAAAGTTGCATATAGTAAATAAACATATTGAAATTTCCTGCAACTGAAAACGTACATAAAACACACAATACAGATATGTGGCTTCAATCAGTCCGGATTTCTATATTTCTGTACCAAAATATATATATCATTTGAACTAATTATTCGGACATAACTGTCACTCATCAATAAATTTTATCAGTAATATTTTTAAATCTATTGGTTTATAGTTTTGTATCGTAATGAATCATAATTAATTGAACAATTAGTAAATATTTGAATAGTTGGCAGCCTACATCAAATTACATAATTATTTGCATGTTTTCATTCATAACAAAATATTATTGAAAAAACTTAATAAAATTGGACAATTTTTTAAATTGAAATATTAAAAAAAATATATAGTTTACAAATTATCAAAAACGTGAAATTAGTTTGAAGCTGCGATAAAGATATGCAAATATCTGTTTTGTTTTGTTTTAAAGATTATTCAGAGGTGACCCAACTAATTATTATTATACGTTTTAGTTAGGTTCCAAGTTCTATTGTTGTTGCTGTATTTTTAATCCATTTTGCCTGATACTGACAATCGTTTTTAAGTGTGGAAAATTTCTCAAATAAACCTACGACACGCGCCTAAACGAACGTACGCAGATACATGAAGATTACAGAAATTTATAGCACGCAAAATAATCAATTAGAAAAAAAAACAGACGAATTATGTTGATAAAGTGATGAAATCCATAATACAATAGAAAAACACAATAAAGATTTGAACTATTGAAGATTGGATAATTCTTATCAAATTCAAATATTTTTATTAATTGCGTAAAATTTAGAAACATTTTTTTTCAATAGTTTACGTGTTTACTAATAATTAATTAATTAAGGCTTGGAAAAAATAATGTAATTTTTAAATGTTGAATGATTTTGAATGAAATTTAATTATTTTTCAGATTTTTCCTGCCGCTGAAAATCATCTTCTGTTTCGTGCTGCCAACTGCAGTCCCAGTCTACTTCTGGTCCGAAAACATCTACAACGCTATAGTCACTCAGTGCATCGTCAGATACATCCTGTCCCTGCACTTCACGTGGTCCGTGAACAGCGCAGCTCATCTTTTCGGCAACAAACCTTACAACATGTAAGTGATAAACGCTGTTTATCTTATTATTTAATTAGTTTCAACTTTTAAAAAGTTGTCTGTAGATTGCAAATTAGTGTTGGAAGTGAAGATACGAATCCTGTTATTAATTGATTGCATTTGTTGCTATGTAACATCAATATGAATCATGTTATTAATTGTTTGTTTTTTGTTGCTTAGTAACATCAATCCGAGGGAGAATCTCGCAGTCGCGTTGATCTCGATGGGCGAGGGTTGGCATAACTACCATCACACGTTCCCATGGGACTATAGGGCAGCGGAACTGGGCAAGATCAACACGACCCTGATCTGGTTGGATCTCTTCCAGAAGATCGGATGGGCGTACGACATGAAAACGCCATCGAAAGAGCTTATCAAAGCTGTGATCGAACGCCGAGGACCTGAGTCTGTAAACAAACATTGCCATTCGCATCCTGAAGAAGTCCCGACGCCCGATTCAGACAACGAAAAGTCCATCTGAGTTCTCGCGAATACAATCATAATACTAATTAAAAATTAAGCATAATTCGATAAGACACGCCCGAGCGGCATCCAAAACAAAGACGGGAATATTATGAAAACAAAATAAATGATGATGATAATAATAATGTGCGAGAAATTATTGTGATTTTAAAATATTGTACTAATTAATACTTCGTTAAGATTATTTACGTTTTTTTTTTGTCTAATTATTACTATTATTCTTAGTTTCTACGATTATTTTATATGTATGTTATATATGTATACACACAGGGAATATATTTTTGTATCGTGTTTTATTCTACTAGATTCGGTGTATAATAATAATCATAGAAAATTTACGTTAGACTTGGAGTTTGTCATGTGCTGATTGTTATTGATGTTAATATTATTACTATTGTGCTATTTTTTTTTTGTTATTGGTATGTTTTGACACATGAAATAAATTCAACACTTTTCAAAAAAAAATAATCAATAAACTTATTATATTCCTCCCAAATCAATAATTGAAAATTTCCTGCACTAATACTACAAAATAATATTATAGATAATTGTTATAAAGTTAATGCGAAAAAATTATAAAAATAATTCGCAAAAACTATTGCTTAACTTTGACAGCTACTTACAAGAAAACGTTACATAGTACCAGAGAGTCGAACCGAAATTAATTTCGTTCCGGTTTACGGTTACGCTGCAAGTAAATGTTTATCGTTCCAGATTCGGTTAGACTAAAAATTTCGATTCAGTTCCGGTTGAAATTAAAATTTAAAATCGAAAAAAAAAGCTTTAAATTGGTTAGTTACAATTTAAAATCTAGTTGAATATTAAATTTTTATTTAATTTTATTTACCAAATTCCTTTACTATTGTTTTCGAACTATTGAAAATACAAAAGAAATAATTTGTTTTTTTTTGAATGATTATATAAATAAACCAAAATACTAGCACATACATGAAAGAAAGCAATTGTGAATTAATTTAATAAAAAAAAATATTAACCGTAATTAAAATATCGTACCGGTTTCGGTTTCAGTTTTTCAATTGAGAAGTTTTTCGTTCCGGTTCAGTTAAAAAATCCGATTAATTTCGGTTTACGGTTTTCGGCTCTCTGCATACTACTAATCGACTTAAAAGCTTGTTGAAAGTTATATAGCTTTATCTTTAAGTTTCATATTCGATCATCTGCTAGGCTTACGTGATTGAGTAATTAAATAAAACTTGAACATATGAAAAAATGTACAAAAATTGCCATATTTTAATAATTATTTAACATTCTGTAACAACGATTATATCAAAAGATGCAAGAAAATCTTTTCTATAGCAATCATAAAAAAATTTATGAGTTAAATACAATATTTGGTATGATTAATATAAAGAAAATCATCTATCCAAACATTGCTTAAATTTCTTAAATTATTAAAAACATTAAATGTATAATTTGGATTCTGCTACAGTTTTTCAAATGTAATATAAGATCTTTAGGTTTAAATTAATGAATTAAACTAATCATTAAGTATGACATATGTATATTGTACAACAATTTTAAATAAGTCATAAATTTGTATATTTGGTTGCCTAGAGTATAACAAACCTTTTAATATTGTTTTATGAAAAGTATTATAAATTGTGTTAGTCTTAAAGTTTTATGCAATTCTATACAGAACAAAAAAAATTAATGATTAAATTTATTTACGATCTCTTAGTCACTGTTAGATTATATATAGTAAATATGTTGTTTTCTAAGGAATAACATTTGAATAAATAATCTTGACTGTATAATTTCAATTGGCTAAGGTGACTTAAGTAATGAGCTTTAATTGACGTGTATATTGTTATTAATTCATCGATGACACGGAAAGTCAATGAGTGTGGAAATTTTCAGAAAATGTGCTTAAAAACATACATGTTTAAACAACTATGTTTAATTAATTTACATATTTTCCGAATACGTAAATTGGGAGAAAATTGATATATGTAAAAAAAAATGTTATAAATTATACAATTATAGAAGTTAATTATTGTTTGGACTTTGAATCAAAGTTAATTACATCATTGTAAACAGGAATAATTTGTGCAAATCATTAAACAATGAATCTGGTAATTACTTGCTTTTAATTTTTTTTTTCTGACCATCACCTCAGGTTTGCGTCTATTTTCTATATAAAATGTGGAGCAGCAGTTCTCAATCTATGGGTCAAAATTTAACGAGTTGTAAAATGACAGCTGTCACGTTATGTCAAATATGTTATGTTGTAAAATTGAATGAGTTACAAAATGACAGTTGTGACGTTGTGTCAAAAATGTTATGTTATAAACAAATGAGTCGCAGTAGAACTACAGAGCAATATGCTGTGTCCCACAGCAAAAAATGTTGAGAATCGCTGATGTAGACTTTATATGTTGCTTTTACATTGCACGTGGTCGTTATGTTATGTCGCAGTACAACTACAGCGAAATATGTTATGTCAAAATTTAATGAGTTACAAAATGACAGTTGTCACGTTGTGAATGACAGCTGTCACGGTATGTCAAAAATGTTATGTTATAAACAAATGAGTCGCACTAGAACTACAGAGCAATATGCTGTGTCCCACAGCAAAAAATGTTGAGAATCGCTGATGTAGACTTTATATGTTGCTTTTACATTGCACGTGGTCGTTATGTTATGTTATAAACAATTGAGTCGGAGTATAACTACAGCAAAATATGTTGTGACAGCTGTCACGTTATGTCAAAAATGTTATGTTATAAACAATTGAGTCGCAGTACAACTACAGTGAAATATGTTTTGTCAAAATTTAATGAGTTACAAAATGACAGTTGTTACGTAGTGTCAAATTTGTTATTGAATCGCAGTACAACTATAGGGCAATATGCTGTGTCCCACAGCAAAAAATGTTGAGAAACGCTGATGTAAAGTTTATATAATTCTTTACATTGCACGTGGTCTGTAATTAGTGCAGCCACACTTTTCGGCAATAAAAATCTTAAGATGTGAAATAATGATAAGCATAAGATGTCCTACTTGATTAGCACACTTTATCTTATTACGCATTATAATTTCATCGTCTTAACCGAAATCTTCAAAAAAAAAAAGTGTAATTTCCAGATGTAATCAATTTAGACGCAATTTGCGTATCGAGTGCCTTAAGCACTTTAGATAAAAACAGGAAATGAGTATTGGAAGTGAAGATCTGCAATCTATACTTATTCAATTGCGTCTGTTTATTTTTTGTCTATTTTTACCCCATGAACATTACCTCAATTTAAAAGAATATTGCATAGATCCAAAATTTTCCAGATATTGCATTTAATATAGTATACAATATAATTAAAACAACTAAATCTAATAGATTAATAAATATACATTGAAGTATATTTTTAGATTAAAAACTTCAGACATTGAAACAAATCGTAGTTTCATAATCCATTGTCAATTTTAAGTGCAAACAAGTACAAATATTTTAAAAATAAACTATTATCACTACTAAGTATAATCGTACTAATTGTAATAAATTTAATAGTGAGTGTTATCAATAGATTTTAAAAATATTCTTATCATTTTCATCCATTTTGCATACAATCATATTCTAATCTAATCATCAATTGTCATAATAATCGCAGTTACAAACTATTACCGTTTATTTTTGTTTTCTGCTATCGTTGAGCTCATTAAAAACCAACCTCAATTGAGATGATAATGACGACTGTACTTTATTTTTTTTCTAAATAAATAATACGTATCGCCGTTTTTTGAGTATCCATGCGAGATGAAATTAGACTTAACAAGTACTCATAATCTTTGATACTTTCTTTTTTTTTTTTATCAATGAACGCATTTTTTTTCCATTAGAGATATTCCATGATCATATTTATATTTTGCAATCATGATGTACCCAAAATGTTGTGTACTCAAGTTAGATTAATACATTAAGATGATCTGTGAGTCAGTCAATTGTCAAAAGTTAGATTGTTACACTAACATGAGTTAACTGTCAAAATTTTGACAGTCAGTTGTCACTTTGAAAATACATCTTTCAAATAAAAAAAAATGAATAACATATAAGCAATTTTTAGTAAAAATTGTAGTGTTTCCTTATATTTGTTGTCATTTACAATCATTATTTCAAATTATATACTGATGAATGTGATTTGACAGCTGTCAGTCAACTGTCAATAATATTGTTTTTGCTTGAAAAAAAAATGTCTAATCAGACAATTTGATTGTAATTCTTTATAAATGCGAATCTTTATAAATAATTGTGTTAATAAATTATAATTTTTCAATCTTGTTTATTTTTCTTGCAAGTTGTTTAGAAGTTAAAAAAAACGAAACTTTATATGTAAATGATTAAAATTATAAATACTGACAGTTTTATTGCAACGATCACGTTTACATAATTAGCGAGAAATTGTTTTCGTGTGGCGAAATTGAAAATCATTTATAATTTGAATGTTTTCGAGTCAAGAGTGCGCGCGACCTTTCACATCCGAAGATAACCCGGCTTTCCGATTCGAGACTCAGCAGATTTTTCTATCGTTCAACCCCAAAATTTCCATTGGTGCAAGGAAATAGCAAACAAATTAAACAATGAAACGTCGGAAATTAAATTTGTTTACAGTATATTTAATAAAATAATACCTGTTTTTTAAATTATTGACAGAATATTAAAGAAATTAGTTGTTTTTTTTTCTTTATCAACAAATTATTCGTAATGCATTGCTATTAAAGTTGATTCGATGCACTTAATGTCAATTGTGGATATCGCTGTCACGAAAAGACAATGCAATTTTTTTTTGAATAACTCATTTCCTTTTCGTGATTCATAATTGCACTTGCACTTTGCCGATTTATTTGAGATGGATTTAGTTCATTATTATATTTTTTAACGTAATAACAAATATCGTACACGAATGACGTTGCATAACATTGCTATTGTGAACGTGCATGCTAACACGTACTTAAATTTTACTTTAATGGAACGATTTGTAGCACGAATTATTTGTGTTTTAACGATTTATTTAATATCGGACTACAACATTGCAAAATCAATGTAAGAAATGACAACTGTCACAATGTGTCAATGCGATAAACAACGTAAAATGACAGCTGTCACATGTGTCAATGCTATAAAAAACGTAAAATGACAGCTGTC